CTACTGGGACACTGCTGGCTCCCGCCCCACTTTCTGGGTAGGTGCCTTAGCTGGCAAGTCCCAGGCCGGGCTAACCCTGATGTCTGGAAAAAAGGACACACCTCCTTTCTAAGTCCCAGCTTCGGGGGCTCTCTCAATCAGAAGACAACACCTTCTCAGGACACAAAGCACCTTCTCTCCACTCGCCACCGAACGTTATCCTCTGCCCTCTGCCCTCTGCCAGGGAATCCCACTAGGCCTGCTCTTCCCTTCCGCACATCCTCCTCCTTCTCCAGGCCTCCCTTGGCTGCCCATCCCACTGCCCTTCCTGAAGGCAGACACCCCCCTCTTAAAACTCAGACCAAAGCCCTTAGCCCTCCGCACGGGGAGCGGCTGAGCAAGTCTCTGATGCAGTCTCCGAACTATGGGAAACAACTGTGGAGAGAAATAAATAAGTTTTCATATGTTTCCATGCCCAGCACAGAGCGTGGCACACAGGGATAGAACAAAGGGAAGTTTCATTCCTCTAGTCCCCAAAGACCTAAACCAATTTTAGTTTTTTGGTCTCCAAAAGTGTACTGGAAAACGGGGTGAGTGGGGTAAAGCTCTCTTGACCAGAGGCAAAAAAAAGCTCCTCTATACGCTTCCCTGGTCTGCCCGACTCCTAGGGAGTGGCCAGAGCACCCAGCCAGAGGCACCCAGCCAGGGCCGGTGACCAGGCTGGGCCCAGAGCCTCCTGGGAGGGTGAGTTTAAATGAGTAAATATGGTCCCACCTGGGTGTGGCCAGCAGCAGGCCGGAGCTCCAGACAAGTCCCTCCCCTCCCAGCATACAGCAAGAGAGAGATCAGACAGCCACCCCCCCTTGCCCCACACCCACCCCTACCCCACGTCCAGACTCTCGGGGTCCTGTGCAGATTTCACGAACGCATCCCCCTGTCTCCATGCCTGGCCAGAAGCACGGTGAGGCTCCAGGAAAGGGAGGTTGTGGCCATAGCCTCAGGAAAGGGCCTCAGAGATTACTTAAACCAGGAATCTGCCCCAAAGGCCTGAGGGCTCAGATACAGCCTCGCTGCATCAGAGTGGAAGGGCTGTCAGAATGAATGGGGAGGGCAGCAGAAACCAGAGAGAAACCACCACAACACCCAGGGGCTCTGGTCACCACAGGCTGGGGGAAACTCCTTATCCAAGGACACACAAGCAGTGTGAGGGTCACAGACAGGCTAAACCAGGGCCACAGAGAGGGAAGTGGGGGAGGGGAGGGATGGCAGGGTAGTGATGGAAGTCAGCCAGGGCTCCACAGCCCACAAGCCAGCCTCTGGGTCTGCCCGTGTGTGTAGTCTGACCTCCATCCCTCATGCTCCAGTCCACCCTCCTCTCTTCAGAGCTCTAGTATGTCCTTCATCTCCTTACCTCCGGTTCCCCCCCCCCCCCCACCCTATCCCCAGTCTCCAATCCTTTAATCATCTTTGCCATTCACTACCCCCCACCCCCCACCCCCCACAGGGCGGCAGCTGCTCCGTGGGTGCTGCACACCCACGTGTACGCACCGCACACCTTCGTGCCTGTGCGCCACTAGGTGCTGTGGACCTGCCAGGTGCATCTGGGCATATGGACGCTCCACCCGGCCCCCCCTGCTAGACAGAGGAAAGGGGCCCACCAGCTGGCCCCATAGCTCCAGGACAAACTCTCCTCAGAAGACTTGCAGCCCCAGGCAGGGGGAGAGAAATGAAAATAAATATTCCAGGAGCCCAACTGCACCATTCCCACCAGGCCAAAGTTCAAGGCCTTTCCGCAGAGCCACCGAGAGCGAAACAGCTTTGGGATCTCCTTTTCCCCAAGCCGATGGGAGCCGGCTGTCTCCCCAACAACCAGATGCACCGGGAAGTTCCTCCCCAGGTCTGAGTTCCACCCTGCCTGCTGCAGCTGTGGGCAGACAGGGCACCGTCAGCCCAACACAGCAGGGTGTCCAGCCTCCAGAGCACCTCCCCCCCATGAGTAAGTCACCAAACTGGGACAGAAGGACAGACAGTTGGCCGGACTCCGACCTCATGACTGGCCCATAAAAGCCACCAGTGATTACAGTGATGCTGAGGTTATGCTGCCCCCACCACCGTCGCCTCCTTCCCTGTAAAAGGGAGATAATTGCCTCAAACCAACTGGCCTCAGAAAGCCTGGAGGGTTCCAGCCTCGGTCCCAAGGGGTGGGGAGAACCTGCCACCAGAGCCACAGGACCAGAATCTAACCCCCAGTGATGGGTTCTAGGACATCTCATCCTCATCCTCATCCTCACTGCTAGAATCCAGTGGACCCCAACTCTGACTTGTGGCCGAGAGGTGGAGGCCTCCATTACCCACCTCACTGACTCATCTTCTCCACAGGCCACCGCCCTGTGGACTGGGGGGGCAGAGAAGTAGGGGGCCTGGCTCCAAATACAGCTAGGAAATGGTAAACCAGCCATTTGTCCCTGACCCCCGTTGTCCCCATGGAGATACAGAAACGGGTGGGAAAGTGTTTGACACTCACACCAGGCCAGCACCGAGGTAAGCACTGAGATTGCGGACCCAGTGCCAACCAGCGAGGGCCAGGGACCCAGCTGCCCAGAAGAAGATTGATAGGAGGAGCAGAGGACTAGAACACCCACAGCAGAAGAGACCATTCCAGGGCACAGTCAGAGGAGGAGGGTGGGAGGGGCTAGACAACAATCGAAGAGGGTCTAAACCCTTGTCTAACCACCCCTCCTTGCTACTGGTCTCCCCGGCTCCCCCCTGCAAGCCTACTCGCCATCTTTCCCCCATCACACCTCCCAAAAAAGACCCAGTGAGGGTTGTTGTTTTTTTTCTTTAAAGAAAAACCTGCTGGAGAGAGATTATATAACAGCAGCCAGAAAGACCATTATATCTCCCAGCTGATGAGAGGATCCAGGAGCCAAGAGAGGCAGAGCTGGGAAGCTCAGGCCCCTCCAGTGCAGGGCAGCAGGTACAGAGTGGGGTGAGCAATGGGCAGCCCCCGCTGTCCTTCCACGTCTTCCATCACTCTGTTCCAGGCATTGGGGACAGCACACAGAAGAAACTCTAGCCCAGCCTCCCATCCCCCCAACCCCCAATAAGGATTATGATGCTCCCTGACTGGGTCCTGCTTCTTTCCCTCCTTGGACCAGGGCCTCCAAGAACAAGAACTGTGTCTCCCTTCCTTTGGTCTCTTCCTACTGTGAAGCCATCCATGCCCAGGCGAGTGGCGGTTGGACTAAAGTTCTGACATAGATTTGCTGTGTGATCTTAGTTACACACACACACACACACACACACACACACGTGTGTTGGGGACAGGGAAGTGACAATGAGAACATGACTACCGAGACCCAAGGGTCCAAATACCGGTGCTAAGGCAGGGGAGGGAAGAGCTATATATAAGCTCCAGTGTCCCCCAATGACTTCATAGCGATGGGTCCTCGGCCATGTCACATTGATTCCATCCCACCCCCACGTCCTGCCCAGCACTGGGAAGCCGCAGGAAGGAAATGCATTCCCAGGCAGGCCCTGGGAGCTGGAACAGAAAGGCTGAGACCCGGAGCGGGTGTGACCCTTGGCCACAGGCGGGTGGACGTGTGTGAACAATGACATGTGCCTTTTTGATGTTCTCCTTGGCTCCTGAGATGTCCCTGCTGGGGGTTTGGAGGGGAGGAGGAGGTGGACAGCTCCCTAACTTCAAAACACTCAATCGTGTGCTCCCCTCCTATCTCCAGGCCAGAGCAGCCCAAGGTCACTGCCCCAGATGGCAAACTTCCCATAGTCAAGGCTGGCACCTGAAATGCCTAGGAGGCCCACTGAGGGGTGGGGAGGGGAGGAGAGAGGAGGGTCACCCCCTCAACTACCCCGCCCCCAAAACAAGGCCTGTAAGGAAACCTTAAAAGGGAGGCTGGACACAGGGTAGGGGACACAGGATCCACTCACTGTACCCTCCCCCAGCCCATCCACGATGCACTACTTAAGGGGACTCACAGAGCTTCCCACTCTGGACAAACCCGGGATACCCTACTCAGTGGCTCCAAGACTGCTCCCAGCCTGCAGCCCTCCTCTCCTGAGAGACCTCAGGAGGCTCCCAAGAGGGCAGTCTGAATTCCTGGGGAAGGGGAGGCCCTGTCCCCCATCTCTGTGAGACCCAAACCTTAAAGGACGGGGGCTGGCCTCTACCCTATCCCCTAGCCCCCCACTCTGAGCCCAGATCAGCTGGCCATAGACGGAGAGAGACTGGAGAACTCTTGCCCAGATGTTGCACAGCTGCAAACTTCTGGCCAGGGGTTCTCCAGCTGCGGCTGCTAACAAACCAGATCAGAGGTCTCTCGGAAGCGGGCTAGGAGGTCCCGAGGAAGGATCCTGCGTGTCCACCTCCGTGGTGACTCTGCGTCCCAACTCCATAGGCACCGGCAAAACCCGGGCCCGGACACACACACACACACACACACACCAACCCACCACCCCGGTGTCATCTGAACAACATCTCTCCTCCCTCCCCCGCTTCCCAAACAGCTGCGGCTCCCCCCGCCCCCGCCCTCCCGCCGCCCTCCCAGGCCCCCTTCTGCACCATTTCGGGCCAAGGAGGAGGGAACAGGCGGCGCGGGGAGGGGGGGGGGGCGGCTGTTAAAATGTCAGTCGCTCCCGGCTGTCACCGGAGGGCCCCTCTGAGGATGGCCTCCCTCCCCAGGCCACTCGGACGGACACCATCGGAGCCCCCGGACACCCACCGACCGGCGCGCCTCGCAGCCGCCCGCCCCCACCCCGACCCCCCAGACCGCCCCCCTTGCCCCCACAGCCGGCTCCCCGACACAAACAGTCCCCCCTGCAACCTCCCACCGACGCCGCGCGAAAACACAGCCCGCTCCCCGAGCTCTCCCGGCCCAGGGGGCCACCCCGTCCCACCCCGTCAGGGGGGACAGCCGGGACCACCCTCCACCTCAACCCCAAGGCGGAGTGGGGGAGGGGGGCCTCTTAAAGCGACAGGCACACTATTTTTCTCTACTCACCGGTCCCGCTGGGGAGAAGGGGGGTGTCACGGCTGAGGAGGGGCAGCTCTCGCTTCTGGTCCGGGGTATCTTTAACACCGGGAAGCCGCGGCTCCGGGCGGGGGAATAACAAATGAGGCTGGTGTCCACGCGGGCTCTGGGCGGCGCCGCGGGGCCTGGACCCCCGTCGTGGGCGCGGGGGGGGGGGGGACGGGCGGGCGGGCGGCGGGCTAGGCGGGGGACCGGGGCCGAACACCCGACTCGCCTCCGCTGTGTTGATATTTTGCTTCCTTCCTCCTTTCGGGCTCCAAAGGTAACTCCTCCAGCCCCTGGGACTCAAGGCCGACGTAGGCACTGCTCAGCCTAGCTTGAGGGGCGGGGAAACGACGGTGATGGACAGGCGCGGGGCCAATGGGAGAGACTGGTGGTGTCGAGGGGCGGGGCCCCGGCGGGGGGCGGGACCGGGGACGCGGCCCCGCCCCTCGCTTCCCTTGGCCCGCGGGGCCGGGCCGGGTCAGCCCCCGCCCCTCGGCTTGACCAAGCTAGGCTGTAGCACCACGAGCGGCAGATCCCTCCGCCGGCCGTGAGGGAGGGAGGAAGGGACGGAGCGAGGCAAAGTGGGGAGGCGAGACCCAGGGGCCTTTAGAGGGTTCGGCCCGCGGCGTAGGTGGCCCCCGGAGCTCGCGGGCCCGCTGCCTGGCGCTGCTGCCGCCATGCGCTTAGGGAGGTCCTTTTCCGGGAGGCGCTGTGCGCAGAGAGGGGCAGAGACACACTCGCTCCTCGGAAGCCCCCCCCCCCTCGAGCCCCAGGAGAGTTGGGAGGTGGGAGTCTAAATAGATAAATTAAGGGTAGACGTGAAGTGAAGAAAAGATCCCCTCATCTCCCCCGCTGACTGTGTGCCCAAGCTCACTTAAAGGGACACATGCATTCCTGGGGGTTCCTCAGGGAGCTCGTTTGCTCCCTCTACCTGTGACAGACCCCTTCCCTGCCGGCCTGGCTCGGCAGACGCCCAGCAATTTAAAGCGACAGCTCATAGTTCTTGGGTGACCTAATCCCCAGTGACTGTGGCCACGGAGCACTTACTGTCAAGGGGGGCAATTTAAAGGGGCGGGACCCTGATTTCAACTACAGGATAGGAAACGCCCAAAAGTTTCTTATTAAAGCAGCAGCAGTAGCTCTTAAAAAAAATTAAGAATTCCTGGTTGCTCCAGGGTGTGGTGAATCTTTACATGCCCTACAACAGGAGTGTGGGTGCCACACCAGCCAGATTTCCTCTCCAGCACCTCTGTTACGTCTTAAGTTCTGCTTTTTTACCCGAGCTTGAGGAAATGATGGAATCTGACTTAGATCTCAGAGAACCTTGCAGAACAGAAGGGCACTCAGTTCTTCATACACCCTGATTTCTATCTGGCTGGGTTCGATTTACTGGACTAAAACTGGATTCTGGGTTAAGTGCTGAAAAAGACTAGCATGCACAGAGAGAGGTGGCATGTCACGGTGATTGGAAGCATCAACTTTGAAATAGTCAAGCTGCCTTGGTTCAAAGCCTTACCCCACCACTTATTAGTGAACAGAGGCACATTATTTAACTGCCCTGTACCTCATGATCCTCATGGATAAAACTGGAGATGGTGGTAATAGAACCTAACTCATAAATTTGGTGTGACGATTAAATTAGTTCATTAGATTGGTTAGAACAGTACTTCATACTGCATTATAACAACTCAAGGGCTGGACTGCAAAGACCCCTTTAGACCCATTATCACATACAAAGTCTCAAAGGAGACAAGCTCAGTAGAATTGCTCTGCAAAAAAGGTTTGGAGGCTTGCCCTGGCTGGTTTGGTTCAGTGGATTGAGCATCGGCCTGCAGATTTAAGGGTCCCAAGTTTGATTCCAGTCAAGGAAGGGCATATACCCAGGTTGCGGGCTTAATCTCCAGTGGAGGGCATGCAGGAGGCAGCCGATCAGTGATTCTCCCTCAACATTGATGTTTCTATCTCTCTCCCTCTCCCCTTCTCTCTGAAATCAACAAAAATATGTATGAAAAGATATATATTTGTTTGGAAGTTTATCTTAAATGTCCTAAGACAGGGAGTCAGCAGGCTCCTATTTTCTCGGCCTCAGTTTCCAACCCTTCCATCTGGCCCCTCCTTCAGGAAACTTGATTTAAAGTATCCCACTTTGTCCCAAAATGCAGTCTCTCAGTTCCCCATTATATCTGGGAGGTGGGGCCCCAGCACCAGAAGATGTTAGAGTCGCCCCGGCCAGGAAAGGGGAGCCCATCCGTCCTGTCCCCAAGGACTCAGAACAGAGCCTAGTGCCAGGCCTGGGGCTGTGGCTGTAGCAGGATGGGAAAGTGACCCCTCCCCCCACAAGTGGGGAACCTCCCCTCACTTGTGGCCTCTATTTTTAGTGCTTCCCCAAGCTCTAGCTGGAGAAACCGTTTAGTCATCAGGGTGTTTATTTTCCGGCTGTTTCCGATGTCGGGAAAGCAGAATGTTGAGACTGGAGAGATCCAGGGCTGCTGAAAAAGACTTAGGAACAGGCCTGGGAACTCAGCCTTCAGACCATTGGGTCCCAAATCACAGCGGGGGAAAAACACAAGTGGACAGGGGGCAGCCAAGCTCCCAGAGGACCTAGAGAGCTGGATTCTCTGCCAGCCTCCAGTTTTGAGATTCTGCAAACCTCTCTAGCCCAGCTCTACTAGAAGGATTCTCTCAAAAACATTAGCAGCCCTTGAACAAATTCTTGCCCAGGGCTGATTGCCAGAAACCTCCCCAAATTCTATAGATCTGTCTGTTGAGCCTCCCACCGACCACAGCTCCCGCCAATCTAAGCCAGAGGTAGGCTTGCCAGGGCTGTGATTGGCCAATTGGTCCTCCTGCCTCGGAATGTTGAGTCCTTAACAAAGGAATGGGGAAGGAAGGTGAGTCACCTGGGAGGGTATTAAAGGGCCAGGAGCTGGAGGGAGAAACTAAAGGTGGTGTCAGCTCAGGAAAGGAGATGGAGTGTCCTGGACCCTGAGGTCTGAAATGATAATTGACTAAAGAACAGAATAGGAGAGGGTGAGGATAGAATTTATAAATGTAGGAGAGGGTGAGGGATATATATATATGAGAGAGAGAACTTCATGGGAAAGGAAAAGTAACAAACATGAGGTCTTGATTTCTGGGGAGGATAAGAAAGGATCTAGGGAGTAATGTTGCTAGAATCAGATTATAGTAAAGACTTCCTGAAAGTGACTCACTGCATCTTTTCCTTCTAGCCCCTAGACTACCCATCCCACAACCCTCCAGGCGGAAAATGTCTGAGCAGGCTCAGAAGCTTGGGTCTCCTTTTTCCTTCTCTGGCTACCAACTCATCTTTCCTAGAGAAAAGTCACCTAACAGCCCAAAGTTGCTCTAACTCCCCCTCTCCCCCAGCAGTCAGAGAGACATCCACCAAAGTCTTACAAAGTGTGTGTACAGTATCATCTTCCTAAGTCTAAATGGCATCAATAGCTCCCTTTACCTATGCCTCCCCAAGCATCCCCAGTTCAGCCTAATTTGGAAAGATTTTCCTCACCCCAAGAGCTGCTGCTCTTCCTGCCCATTGTTCTGTATCCCTGGGGAGCCATTATGGCTGTACAAGCCCGTTTGGCTGCTTGGTGGCCCCTCTTGCCTTCCCCACAAGCATGTGAACAATCCCCACCCACTACCTCCATCCGTATAAACTCTCCCATCGGGTGGATCACTCCAGTGATCCTAGCAGAGGCTCTGCTCTCTCCCCACATCTTACATCTTGCTTGTGTGGGAAAGGGCTACCGGCAGGAGTACTGGTGGTCCTTCTGGGCACACATTCTTCATGTGGACTTGTGTCCACCTGTGCATGGTGCTTCCTACTCTGTGTATCTCCTCCGTCAGCACACACTCTATTGTGCTGTTTTTGATTATTTATTTATTCTTCTTCACCAGATCTTGAGCATCTTGAGGGCAGCAGTTGAACTCAAATTTGGGGCTTTGCAGGGGCTGGCATGGACCGTGCTCAACAAATATCCTCTATATGAATCTGCGTGTGTTTGTGTAACTGCATCTAGGTTAAAATTATAAAAACTGTATTGAACACCTGCATTTGTCCATTGATAGCTGCGCTAGCCCAGGAATGGGGCTCTGGTTTTGGGTTTGGGACAAGTCCAGAGGTGGGCGGGAGTAAGGGAGTGGGGGGAGAGGGCGCGGGAAGGAGTAAGGGCCAGGCAGAAAGCTGTGCCCCAAAGCGCCAGAGGGTAGGCCAGCCAGGGCAAAGGGCAGAGGCGCAACCCTGGAATTGAAAGGGGCAGGGAAGGGGTTCCACAGCCACGTCCTAGGTCAGTGCCCGTCTCCCGCTCACCGCCCCCCCTCACCCCTCAGTTGCCTGGGCAGGATGTGGTGGCAGCTGCAGGAGGGTGGGCAGGATGTGGGGGTGGGGGCAGCTGAAACGCAGCCTGACAGTCGTCTCCCCAACTCCTCCCTCCTTCCCTCTCCCCTCCCCATCCGCCCCCTCCAGGTCACGTGCTTCCAGCCGGGGCACCGAAGGACTATTTCCCCTTTACGCGGAAGGACATAATTGACAGCGCAAACTGCAGTCAACAGCGACTTCGGCTGTGTCGCGCCTTTTCCTTGCCCGTAGGTCCAGGACGTAAAGTTTGCCCGGTACACATTTCTTTTCAAGTCCTGGTCACTAACCCAGGAACGGCCCCTTTAAATGCAAATGACCGCCTTCTGGCTCTCGCCCCCCAACCCCCATCCCAACTTCGCTCCTCGTGCCGAGACCGCGCCAGCTGCCATTGACGTCACGCGTGCGTCAGCGTCGCCAACCCAACCAGACGGCACGTGGGGGGAAGAAGGTGGCCTTAAAGGGCCAGAGGCTTTGGGTCTGCCCGGTTACTGCTGTGGGATTTGAAAAAGGGGAATGTAAAGGGAGGTGGGAAAACCTTTTGGAACAGGAAGAAATGCAGGGTAGACATTAGGAACGACGTCCATCTGTGTTCCCCAGAAGGCTGCGCCTAGGAGAGAGACCCAGAAGGAGCAGGACAACTCTGAGGGTGAAAAAGACCCAACATTGAAGACTAGCCCCGTTACAATTCCAGCCTCTCCTCCCGAACGTCTAAGGACTTTGCTCATTTGCAATTCCCAGCACTAAGAACAACTCGCGTAGGAGATACGAATGGAGCCCAGTACAAAGCCACCTCCTTTAGGAAGCTCTCCCGGATTGCCCCACTGAGCATGCATTGCACACACCCACAGCCAAAGACAATCTTACTCTCTTTGAACACTCACGCATAGCAGTTAATGAACCTGCATCTTACTTCCATGCATTAGAGACCACAGGACAGAGGTTAAAAGTACCGACC